AGCGAATTTTATTATAGCGTATGAGGATAGAGTGGACAAGTCTCTACAAAATGAGGCCTCTGTCAGCTTTTTCAAACATTTTTTAACTGATGTTGAAACCTCTTGAGGTGTTAAACAGCTTGTCGGTTGGAGACGTAACGGTTAGATAGGGCACAGCTAGGAGTAAAATACCCTACGTTGGTTCAGGCTCAAGTTGCTTCTAGCAAGAGTTATGAATTTTTCAAGTTATAGGCACCATTATCAATTTTGCTCCTAAACCTTACTCTTCTCGAATGAGAAAACATTTATTAAGTTAAAATTTTTATTCTGTCTGTCTTAAGTTGTGGTCTTGATCATTTGAAAGCTTCAGCCCAAAGAGATCAGGATGTAAGGAGAAAGAAACTTTTCAAAGTTTTCTTCATAACTTTATGGCTTTTTATGCAGTGCTATTCGGTGAGAAAAGGTTCGTTTGAGCAGATTTTTCACACTATTATTTAGCTAAGGCACTATTTCTTGTAAAAACTCAACCAAGCTCCTTTCTGTTTCCATCAGTCTGAAAATAAACTTCTGCAAATAGACGTAATCTCTTTGTCCTTGCATGTGTGGATGAATATAAAAGAAAAAGAACAAAATAAAGTGAAAAATATTAGAAAAGCTGTTAGCGCAATCTCTGCGGGGGGATTAAAATGTGAAACACGATGTATCTATTGTTGCCAATCCCCTAAAAGTTGTTTTTCAAATTTATATTAGGGAATATTTCTTCATGATTGTCTACTTTATAGTATAGAGCTTCAACCTAAAAAATACTCTATATATGGTCTAAATAGATGTTAATTGTACATGATCTCTGATATTCCCTTGAAGCTGTCTATCACAGTCTGTGATAGTCTCTAGAGTCTATCTGTCACGGTCTGGGGGATGGAGGAGAAGGAGGTGGATGCAAATTTCTACTCCATACAATTCAACACTCCTTTCAGATCATGTTTCACAAAAAAAGTAGTACGTGTCTGGATAAGACAGATAGTATGAGTATGATGATTCACAAAAAATTCTTGAAAACATAATACAGTAAAACCTCTCAATGTCAACATCTCGCTGCAGTGGACACCTCCCTATAGTAAACACTTCGCGATCCAACGGAGTGATTTTTGCTGGAATTGAACCTCTCTATTATGGATACCATTCTAGGGTGTGGATGTGGGTGTGGGTATGAGTGTTCTCTTTCCTCTTACCCACACCCACACCCACACCCACACCCTACACCCTGTAGAGAGTTTTCCTGTATTTTAATAGTTATTGATTTTTCTGTTTTGCAAGAACAAAAATGCATGAGAAGATAAGTAAAACTGAGCACTAGTCAGTTATCTTATTCACTAACACCTTTCAAATTCTTAGAAAACGTGTCTGCAACTTCGAAAAACTATGCTTTTGGAAAAGACCTAACAGCCCTATAGTGGACACTTTTAAAAAGTCCCATACGTGCCCACTATATGGAGGTTTTACTGTACCTTGCTGCAATAGCTTCACCGAAAAAATTCGAATTGATCGCATGAGTGTGTATCGCAGCGATCTTATGTAAATTTGAAACACACTTCCGTGACTGTTCGAAAAAGTTGAGGGTCAACATTAATCTAGCCACTCTTGAACCACGCGTGGCATATCATAGGCGTGAAGCCTGGAGATGACAACTGATTATGAATCATAGGTTGTAAACAGATGACACTATTTCTTTGTACAAGGTAAATATCTATTTCATCAAGTAGAACCCTTTCATAAAGGGTGTGCGCTGGTGTGGGTATTAGGGTTAACTTGTCTCTCCTCACACACCGACACCCACACCCTCATCTAACAAAGATGGACATCAACAGTTGTTAATTGTAGGACATTCCAAAGTGCCGACATCTGCTTAGACCACTCACTAGTACTGTGTAATATAAGGCTGCGACTCAAAAAGATGTACAGCAGGGTACATCGAAGTGTAAGAACGAATTAAGCCAACTAAAGAACGAGAAAATAAGGTAATGTTACAGTAACAAACTAGCAAAAAATATAGAAAGAATCGAACCAACAGATAATCTAGACGAACACGTGAGAACAATAAAAGGAGCAATCAAAGCAGCTGCAGATGCAACAATACTTGCTGAGAAAACAATCAAGAAACCATGGATATCTGAAGAAACATTGAAGCTAGCAGATAAAAACTGAAATTGAAACAGACAAAAGACGCGTCTAATCAGAAAGCACAACAGTTAAAAGATATCTATAAGCGGGTTAAGAAAGCAGCAAGGCAAGATAAAGAACAGTGAATACAGCAGCAGTGCGAAGAAGCCGAAAAGGGTCTAACGATTGGGAATACTGGGCAAACATACAGTCTAATAAAAATGCTATGGAGAAAATTCGCGCCTCGAATAAATGTAATACGAGACACTCTGTACTCCGACGTAGAGGAAGCAATACGCACATTGAAAAAGAACAAAAGTCCAAGATTAGGTGGAATCACAGCAGAAACGCTAGCAGCGGAAAAAGAACAGCTAGCACGACAAATTGACAAACTATGCAACAAAGCATGGCACGAAGGTACAATCCCAGAAGAATGGAATAAATCTATTATAGTACCGATACCAAAGGAAGGAGATCTAAGCGAATGCGCGAACTATCGACCGATCTTCTTCATTAACCACACAGGAAAAATACTACTAATCGTGCTGCTCAACAGAGTCAAGCAACAACTGGAGCCTCACCTCTCGGAAGAATAAGCAGGATTTAGGAAAGACAGAAGTATCATACACCAAATTCTGACACTCGGGCTAATAGCAGAAAAGGCGAAAAGACAAGGAAAGAAAATATACAACTGCTGCATAGATTTCCAAAAAGCATTTGACACAATCAAACACAAAGTGATATGGGCGGTGTTTAGGGCATACGGCATAGAAGAGAGTATGGTGACTCTACTACAAAAGATATACGAAAAAGCCCAGTCGGCAATACGAATAGAGAAAAAAACCATGGAGAGTGGTTCTGTACAGATGTTGGATCCTGATAAGGAGATCCCCTGTCACCATTACTGTTCATCGCATATCTCGAACGCGTGATGGATCATGTGAAACAATGCAATTGTGGAATCAACATCAGTGGAACACGGGTAAACAACCTGAGATTTGCAGATGACATTGACCTGATAGATGAATACTGTAACTTCCTATAGAAACAAATCGAGATAACCAGAATAGCCACAGAAGAAGTAGGGCTAGTCGTGAACACAGCCAAAACAAAGACAATGGTGTTCGATGAAAGAAGCATAGAGCAAGCAATATAAATAGCAGGAACATCTATAGAAAATGCAGATAAGTGCGAGTATCTGGGAAGCCTAATAACATGGGACAACAACTACTCAGAAGAAATTAGAAGAAGAATAGGCAATGCGACTGGAGCAATGGCGTCCCTGAAATACATATGAAACGCGAAGAAACTAACAGTACAGAATAAACTCAAGATTCTAACGATGTGTGTCTTCGGCGTACTATTATACGCCTCAGAAACATAGACCCTGAAGGAGATCGACAAAAGAAAGCTACTCACATTCAAAATGAAATGCTACTGAAGGATACTAAGAATCAGTTGGAAAGACATGATAAGAAATGAGGATATAAGAAAAAGGATATCGAAAGAAGAAACTATAGTAGACATAATCAAGAAAAGAAAACTAAGATTGTTCGGTCATATCTGTAGAATGGACGATAATAGGCTGATAGAACACACAGTATTTGCGAAGAGAGATGGAAAACCCCGAAGAGGACGTCCATGTAGAGAATGGCTGGACGACATCAAAAATTGGCGTGAACGCAGCAGACAAGACCTGTTCCAACTAGCGCAAGACCGATGGATATACAAGAAACTAATCCATACAGTGGTTGGCACCAACAGGCGATAAGCCTACAGGACATCATGAATCATGACGAATATTGTAGAGACATCTCGTATATTACACATTATCGATTGTCACTCACTTTTACTCTGACAAAGTGCCCTCATTTGTGTTTTATAGTCATCTTCATCAGATGCTTTTACTAAAAAATACCTACTCGAAAATTCTTATATACTATCCTTATTATCATGCAACTCATATGTCTCTTTAATGATCCGACTTTGCTTGCAGATAAATCCGAAAGTATTCTATAAATTCTCAATCATTTAGATACATGCATTCGCTACGTCGCATCACCACTATGACGATAAAAGTTGATAGGCCGATTAAAAATCTATGCAGATCTTTTCTTTTCTATGAAATCAACCTTTATTAGGTGCTGGACCACATCTCGTCCTGCCACACTGAAGATATTTCTGTTGCATTTTTCAATAATTCCTATCGAATCCTTACGATTCGCCTGATGCATCCTTAAGAGAATTACCTTGTTGTCTACTGCCCATTGTTGCAGGGTGAAATGAGAACGCTATCGTCGCTGCCGCTTTGTCTTTAGATGAAGAAATTGAATTAGCCGCCATCAGGTATGCTTGTAGTACATTAGCATCGGTTTTTGGTAGTCTTGGTGCTAGTTCACACAACACATTACTTTTACAATTACCATTCGCAATTTCTTTAATTCCATATAAAATTGATGGAAAATATCTGGAGTTCAAATAACGATTGTTTGCCAAATCGATAAATACATTCGCCATGTCTGTACTAGAAGATATTGTTGCAGCGACCGAAAGAACGACATCCAAATGTTGAACAGTAAATTGTTCATGCATCGAAAATGCTCTGAGAGCAGATCCTTTTTCATAACCATTGGCGATGGCACCGGTTGCTTTTACACTCACTCGAAACTGTATTTCCGATAATTCAGAGCGTTTAGCAATGAGTCGAAGTACATCACCCATTTGTTTGGAGGAACTCATAGTTTCAACGCATTCTGCAACACCAGCAATAATTTCATCTGATAGGTTTTGATTCGCCAAAAGATGTTCAAGTACTTTAGCCTTTTCTG